ATAAAAAGCACATCATTTAATATTTTTACAAAATTGATATTTCAGAATAAGAAATATAAACTTCTATAAAAAAGATTAATGTTATTTATTTTATATTTCGTTTGTATTTATAACAGAATTTGTATTAATAAATACAAATATACAAATATAAATATATATCTTTGAGTAGTGATATATATATTTTCCTTCCTATCTTTAATAAAATCATAATGAATATTAAAATTGATTTATATTTATGAATCTATACAATTTTTTCATAATATAATTTCTTAATATTATCTTAAAATAATTTAAATCGTTGAAAATTTGCAATCTTTCAATATATTTAATTCTTTAATATTTCGTTGTAATTGTCAAATGCTGACCTCTAGTGTCGACAAGTTATTATATATAAAGAAAATAACGTGTCTTTTAATTTGTCAAATATGATACATAAAAGTTTAAATATTTTAAATAATATTTATTCATGATTTAATCGAGACTAAAAAATTATAATCTGGTTTCTATCGTACGTTACTTTTATAGGAATTTTTATTTTTCTCAGAAGAAAGGATTCAACAAAAACATAACCTTATATATGATATATGATCAACAATGGTAATATGTTTTTATTATTTTTTATAACAAGTTTTCTATTTAGAAATATATTAAAAATTAAATTACTTATAATATATTGATTCATAATTTTATTTTCTTTTATCCGAAAATTCATTTTACGATCTTTTCATTTCGTGTAAATCAATTTAAGAAATTGCACAATTATGTAAATCGGCAAAAAGTATATTTCACTATTTTGCTTATTATATGTGCATTGATTTATTTATTAAATTGAAATAAATTAAGGACACTTTTGAACTATCACTTTATATATATTTTATATACTAATATAAAACATATGCTGTACCATTTATCAAGTGGCATTTAGTATTTAACAATGGATGGTAACCAAGTAATGGGGAGAAAAACGATAAAACTTATTATAGGTACATTCTTATAGTGAATATCAAATTGAAAGATTATTGTGTAAACTTTTTTCACATGAAATTCAAGAACTGTGTTTCTGAATTTTTATATAAACAAATGTATTTATTTGTCAAGGGTTATATCCAACCCTCATTTCTACATTTCTTATACAGAAATGTATAACATTTCTCTGTCATTATTCAATATACAAATATTTTTCTCTTTTCTTCAATTTTCAGGTAAATGTAATTAAAAATCTATTTTTAGTCAAAATTAAGTATTATATATAACCTTATTTACATATCTTATTAAAAAAAAAATGTAAATAAACATTTTATCATATTATATATTATAATAATATTATAATTATAATAATTAATTTATTTTCTTCTAATAAAATATGAATTTCTTTTTAAAACAATGTATGTTTTTAAATTTATGTTTTAATTTTTTTTTTATTAATATTTATAATTAAAAATAAAATAAAAAATATATAATAAAACTTTAAAAAAATTAAAATTATTAATTTATATCAAATTTATTCTTATTTAATTTTTTATAGGTGATTAACTTTAATTTTTTTCAAAAAACGTAAAAAAAGAAAATATTATGAAGAATCTAACGACAAAACAATTACAAAGAATAGAAAAAAAGAAAAAGAAAATGGCTGCACTTCTGGAAATAACTAAATTAAATGATAAAGATAGAAAAGCTAAAACGCATGTTTTTAAGAAAACTGTTAGTATACTTATTTAAATTATATTACTTTTATTATAATGTATGATAAATATTATTTCAGTCTATAGAAGCTGATCAGTCAAATGATACAGACAACAGTGATGTTTCCATAGAGGAAAATGTCAAACGTAAGCGTCCATGTGATGAAGATTTGAAAGAAACATTTCTAGAACATTCTACTAAAAAGAAAAATATAGAAGGTATTGAAGAGTCAGATGCACTTGCTAACAAAAAGCCTAGGTTTGTAAACAATAATATATTTGTATTAATATTAATATGATATATAAAAATATGATATTGCATTTGTTTAATAATATAGATTAAGCGGAGATGAGTATTTAAAATTGAAACACGAATTACGAGAACGTAAAAAGCAACTTACAAAAATACCTCGATTTCAATTAAAAGCAGTTGGTGAAAGTGCTAGTTTAAGTATTAATGTTAAAAGTGAAAATAGAATTCCTATTTTTCTTAGTGATGTGCAACATTTATTGTTGTATTCATTACATGGTCATCATTCACCATATGTACCAACAAGATGGTGTCAGCTTGAAAAATATAATAAGGTAAATATATATTGAAAAATTATTTGAAATATCATTACTCATTGACAAATTTTTAAAAAGGTCACGCACACAGTGGTCTTTGTTGTTGAAGGACTTTCTTTATACCACTTTATGGCTTATGAAAGCATGTTTCCTTATATAACATCAAAATTGGAACATCGTGTAGAAATTGTAACACCTACAGCATATGGAGGATCAGTAATCGAGGATCTTGCAGCTGTTCCTATAACTGGAATACAAAGCGATAAATTAATTAAACGTATATGCATTTTAAAATATTTGTTTTATCATATTATAATAAAAAATTATCAAATAAATAATATATTTCAAAATTATACACAGAATATGGATCATTAGAAGCTGCATTACAAAATAATAGTGATGTAATAAAATTATTACGGACTGTTTTTCCGATGTATGAAAATTCATCAACGAATGCTGAAAAATTTAAAACTGGATCTGAACTACCTCCTACAGATAAATTTCCTCGTACACAATTACTGTTATCATTATGTCAAATGGTAGAAGAAAATTATCCTGTTCCATTGAAAGGAGAATTAGCAAAAAAGTAATAATAGTAGAAATATTATGAATATTATTGATTATGAATTATTGAAATTCAATAAATAATTTTCTAATATTTAGGTATGAAAATTATATAATGACAAAAGATGTTTATGTAGAAGTTAATGCAAAATCACCAATGTTTGGTTTAGATTGTGAAATGTGCAAAACAACTACTGGAGAATTGGAATTAACAAGAATATCTCTTGTGGATGAAAGTATGAAAGTAAGTTCAATTCTACAATTATTATAAAGAGGGTATACAAATTCTATTAAATTCTATCGCAGATTATTTATAATAGTCTGGTAAAGCCGGATAATCCTATAACAGACTATCTCACACGCTTCAGCGGTATAACAAAAAATATGTTGGATGGTGTTACAACTACATTATCGGATGTTCAACAAACATTGCGAAAATTATTACCTACAGATGCAATTCTTATAGGACAAAGCTTAAATTCTGACCTTCATACGTTAAAAATGATGCATCCATATATTATCGATACATCCGTAATATTTAACATTACTGGTGACAGGTATAATGTCTTTTTCTTTTTGTGTCATAGTTTATTATTCAAAATATTTTCAAATATAAATTATAATAAATATTTTAATATTCAATTATAGATATAGAAAAACGAAATTACAAACTTTAGTAAAAGAATTCCTTGGTGAAAGAATACAAGAAAATAAATCTGGTCATTGTCCTACCGAAGATTCACAGGCTTCTATGAAATTAGTACAATTAAAGTTAGCAAATAGTTTGGATTATGGAGATGCTGTGTTACTTGGTCAATGCAATATGAATGTATTAAAAATGGAAACAGAAAAGAGAACGAATGATCAACAATCATTTAAAACTGAAATACGGAAGTATGCTACTTCAATCTTCAAACATGTAACAAAAGATAAAAAATCTGCTGCCATTGTGGGTATTGGAGAAGTTATGAATGAATATTCTAAATATTTAACTTGTTCTCTCAATATTATGGACGATGAAAATTTCAATGAAAACGATCAAGTATGTTTCATTGCTTTAAGATTAAATTTTATTTATTGGTAATTATTATATTATATGTTACTATTATTTATAGGTACGTCTTGTAGTAGCAGATAATGATAAACAAGCTGTACTTCGAGCTTCACAAATAGCCATGGAACATGCCTTTACTTTGTGTCATGTTAGAATAAATCAAGAGAAATTAAAATATGATCAGATAGAAAAGACTTTTCGTACTGTAAATAAATGGGTATATAAATTATGGCAACATATGGCAGTGAATGGTTTAGCTTGTGTTATATTTCCTGGAGAAAATAACGCAGCAAATGGTGCTTGTTTTTTGAATTTGAAAAAAGAATATCTGAAGATTGTATAGTAGGTGCTTGAAAATAAAGAAATCTGCAATTGTATATTAATTTAAAAGGAAATTATTAAAGATGTATAATTCTAGTAATATTATGAATTGTAAAGAGATATACAAAAAATTAAAAAATCTCTTAACGATTAATTTGCATTCGATAATTATTATTTTATAGACATGTACAAATATTGTATTATTAATAAACTTTTTTATTCCTTGTAAATTTAATAATATTTTTATAATATGTATGAATTCTATTGAATACGTTCTTATGAAATTGTGAACACTAAATTATTTTTTTATGTTAAATTTAATTAGGTTGATTATAATTATTTTTTATTAAATATTTAAAAACTAATTATTTTTATGGATTTAATAATATGGGAAAAACAATAAAGTTAGAATTTAGAAATAAAAAAATATCCATATTGTTTTATTTATTACAATTTAATTTATTATATTAATTATGATAAAGTAAAAAAAGTTTATAATGTTTATATTAAATGTTTATATCATATTTTAATAATTATACTTTATATTACAAGATGTACATTATTTCATATATCAATAATAAATTACGTAATTACAAATGTTACAATTTATGAACAATAAGTATGATAAACAAGTAAAATTACGAATTCATAATACAAAATATATTATGTTTTTATAATAGATTTATACGATCGTATGCATCGTATCATTAGCAATATAAATTTGCCAAATCATACAATATTATCATATCGATGTTATATCATATATATGTACCAGAACTTAACAACAAATAATTAATATAATAATTAAAATGAGTTTTAAATTCATAAAAATATAGTAAAAAAAACGTAAGCATTATAGGAAGTTCACTTTACATAGAACATCCTGTATATGGTTAAAAATATTTTAATTATTCTGTAATTTAAAGAAAAAAATTCAAATATTTATAAAAGAAAATATTCTGAATGCTATATATATAAAAACTGCATAAGAAATTCACGTCAAAATGTCAAATTGAAAATACATAATCTTAAAATGCATTTACAATATTTTATAATAAAAATGATAATGGTTTTTTCAAATTTTTAATTATATCATTGCTACAGTTAAAGAATGATATAATAAATTTAATGAAACATAAAATTATTAACAGAAGATTTCATTTCCTGTTTTTTTAAATATTTCATATAAATAGACACAGATTGTCTTGAATTTCTAGCAAGCATTCTATCTCGAAATGAAATATTTTTTTTGTTTCTAATCTTTTGTATATCAATAACATCAAAATCAGTAGTACTTCCAGAATTACTTGGTAAACTAAAATCCTGTTTTACAAATATCTTTCTTTTTTTATTAGGTTTGGATTCATAGGTTTCCAATTGCTTTCGTTTTTGTATTGTATTAGACATTGAAGTATTTTTTAATAATAATTTTTGCTTTTTTTGTGGTATTTTTTCAAGTAATTCTTCTTTGTCTTGTAAAGCAACTTCTTTTAATAATTTCTGTTTTCTTTTCTTTTCTTTAGACAATTCATTTGAAATATTATTATTTGGCAGATCATCCGAGTCTTTTTTATGTTTCATTATTACTTTAGTTTTTTCAATTACAGAATTTGTAAGATTTGAAATATCTTTAATTGTGTTTTCTTTTTTCTTTTTCCTTTTTTCTTCATTATATACATTTTTATCATGATTTTCTAAATTTTTTTCAATAATATCTTCAAATATTTCTTCTTTCATTTCTGTATCAGCAATATTTTTCTTTTTTTATTTTTCTTAAATAATTGTTCATTTAAAACATTCTTATTTGACGGAATATATGAAACTTCCTCCTTTTCATTTATTACATTGATGTCTTTATCTATATTTGATAAATTAGAAATATTTTCCACTCTAATTTCTTTTTCCTTTTTCCTTATTTTTTTATCAAGATTTTTTGATTTTGTTTCAACAATATCTTTAAATATTTCTTCTTTTATCTGTACATCACTATCATGTGTTTTTTTTTTCTTATTTTTCTTAGATAATTGCACATTTAAAATATTATTATTTGATAAAATGTCTGAAACTTGCTTCTTTTTCTTTATTATATTATTTTCGTTATTTATATTTGATGAATCTGAAATGTTTTCAAATATATTTTCTTTTTTCTTTTCTTTATTTACTTCATTATGTATTTCTTCATCAAAATTTTTCGATTTATTTTCAATGATATCTTTAATAACTATTTTTTCTTTCATTTGTACATTAATATCATATGTTTCTTTTTCGTTTTTTTTCTTAGAAAATTGTTTATTTGTATCATCAGTGTTAATGAAAGGAATAAAATGTTCAGTATTCTTTACTATTTCTGTATTATATATTTTATTCAATTGAAAATCGTTTTCAAATAATATCGGATCACTTATTTCTTTCACTGTTGATTGCTTTCGTTTTTTTTGCATTTTTTGAAGATCATTTTCCAATATATTAAATGATTTCTTTTCTAAAGAATTATTTACTTCTTTGAATATTTTTTTATTTTTTTCATTGTCATCTTCATTTTCTTCTTCAATTTGATCATTTTTTTTACTACTATTAATAGTATTTGTTAATTCTTTGAACATAGTATCTGATTTTAGTATTGGTGCACTTTCATTTAATTTATCTTTCTTCAAATATCTTGTTCTAGGTATGTCACTTCCCAAAACTGATGTTGTTTTATTTAATCCTAATACTTTAGATGACATTGGCCTTGATAGATTTGTTTCTGTTACAAATTCAATTAATTCAGATGGAAGACTTCTATGCGCAAGCCTTTCATTGCATTTTAATTTTTTTAATTTTTTCTTTAGCGTTATATCTTTTTCCTCGTCAAGAGACAAATTTTTCTGAACATCATAAGTTTTAATATTAAATTTTTCTTTATTAGATAAATTAATTTTAGGAGTACTATATGTCATTGATACATTATCTATTTGTACTTTTTCAGTAAATATTAATGATTCTTCAATATTTTGATTTTGCATTTTTTCCTTATTATTTTTCTGATCTTCTTTAACATTTTCTTTATTGCCTAATTCATATTCAATTTCATCTTTTTTATGTTTAATTTCCATTTCTTCATCTTCTTTCTTTTCACTTTCACTTTCTTCATCTTCCTTTTCTTCAATTTCTTCATTTTCTTTCTCTTCACTTTCTTCATCTTCTTTTTCTTCAATTTCTTGGACTTCTTCTTCTTCCTCCTCTTCACTTTCATTTTCTTCTTCTTCTTCTTCAATTTCATCATCATCAGCTATAAAATCAGCCATATCTGATCCATTATCATCTGGATCTGATGATTCCGTTTCTGATGCTCTACATTCATCTCCTGGTACATGATCATCGGAAAACTTCGAAATATTTTTACCGTGAAAATTATATTCTTTTTGAATATCAGAATCTATACTATTATTAGATTCACTATCATTGTTTTCACTATCGCTAGTTTCGGCAAATAAAAATTTAGGTATGTTCATGAATTTTTTTTGTGTATCATCTGAATCAGAAATATCTTTACTTCTTTCAGAGTCCGATGAAACATTACTCGTTGTTGAATAATTTTTTTTCAATTTTTTTCTTGTTTTATCTCTCAATGATTTTCGATCTGATAGGCGTTTATTTTGTAATTTTATATCTTCTTCTGCATCTTCTATATCACTTTTTATTCTTTTTTCTTTTTATTTTTATCTTTTACACTTTGTTGTTTATTGCTAGTAGAATATTTATTTTTGCTATCATTTAATTTATATTTATCTTCTGATATATCCATTAATATATCTGTATCATTTTCTACTTTCATGAAATTTTTTTGTACTTTCAATATGATAGTATCATCTGAATCATAATCAAATGTTTTTTTTTCATTTTTCTTCAATTTTTCTGCAGATAACCATGCTTCTTTATCGGCTAAAACAAGATCGCATTTACCCTCTTTTTCATTTTTTATATTTTCATTTGATAAATTTAAAGAATTTTTATCAATTTTATTATTTTTCTCTTTCCATTCAATAACTGAAACGTCTTGAAATAAATTTGCTAAATTAGTATTAGAGTCATCATCAACTTCAAATTTTTCTTGATATTCTTTAATTATTGTTCTATTATCTGGATATTTTTCTTTTGATTTTAATTCATTTGTACATTGTTTTATTAACATTATTGAATCATTAGATTCATTTTGCACAGATTCTTTCTCTGGTTGCTTTTTTTCATCAAATATTTCTTCAACAAAATCAGTAGTATCTGTAATAAAAATATGATTTTAATTAAATTAGTTATGTTGGCTTCATTTATATTAGTTATTATTACCTTTTAGTCACATAAATATCTAAAAATTTTGATAAATTACTTATATATAAGAATAAATTAATCTTACCAATGTTATTTAAATGCTTTTCATATATACTGTTATTACTTGAGTCACATTTATTTGTTGGCAAATCATTTTTTTGTGTAAGTTTATTTAAAGTTATTCTAGAAAGTTTCATTGATTCTTCTTTCTCTTCTGTAACAGTTATTTCTGAAGGTATTAGTAAAGATTGTCTTTTTGTTTTAATAGATGTTTTTATTAATTCACTGTTTTGTTTTTCTGTTAGTTTATCAGATGTATTTTCAAGTCCCACAGATCTAGCTCTTATATTACGTGTGTTTCTTGCTAATAATGGTGATTCAACTCTTATAAAATGTTTAACTAAAAAAAAAAAAAAATTATAATGAATAAGTGAAACAAAATTTAATTGTACAAATGATTCATTATTACATATACCTTCTGCGACTATCTGTCATTTTATTATTATTAGAAGTATTACTTTTAGTTTTTCTTGTTGGTGTATCAATATCTGTTTCTAGGATTTTAATATCTGATGATATAGTATTTGTCCTAGAACGTAAGTTTCTTTGATTTTCAATGGAAATAGTATTGTTGATAGTAGTTATTTGTTTTCTTGGAGTTTGTGTATTATTAACATCAGTTAGAGACAATTCAGGTGAAGAATCATTTTTTTTAAGGTTTTGTTTAATTCTTGAACTTCTACGAAGTGGTGAATAAGCCGATTCGATAAGGGCACGAGTCTTATCATCTAAAAATTTAAAAGAAAAATTTAAAAAAGTAAAATAATAGAATAAATTTTAAAAAATATTAATTATATGTTTGAAAAAGATTTAAAATAAAAATTAACATCAAATCATATTATATAATTGATAAAAATATAACCATTGTTTAAATCAACGGTTATATTCAGCAATTGAATAAATCATATGTATATATAAATGAAAAAATACGAACCATGTTTTGCAACCATTTCATTAATTGATTTTCGTGACATTTTTCGTTATTAAAAATATGTATAAAAATTAACAATAACTTAATAATTCATTAAATTCATTAAATAAACAATAACTTAAAAATTTCATTAACACGTGTTATAACAAATGAATTTAAATTAACAACTTATTGCATCTTTATTACGTTATGGAATAAACATTCAGAGACATCAAGCGGCATTTATTTCCAAAAGATTAAAAAAAATTTTTTTAAAAGAATATATAAATATAATAAATACAGTAATTTTGTATAATTTAAAAATTAATGTCGTGTGAAAAAATAGAAATTTATAATGCGTTAAAAAGAAACAAAGCTATAATTTTGTATATATAAATTATTTCGTAATTATTTTCAAAATTATAATAAATAAATTGAAAAATAAATTAAAGAATTAAAAATTTATTAGGTAAAATAAACAATCAGAAGAGGAAAAAAAATATTAGTTTAATTTTAAAATTATAAGTTCACATTCACATTTGTTTGAAAGTAATATTTGAAAATAATAATAAATAATTTTGTAAATAAAATTTCATTTATATGTAATATTTGCAATAATGTTAATGTATATTTACATTAATATATTGTATATTACATTAAAATATATAATGTTTATAAAAATTATATTTTTACAAAAAATTTAATATTGAGTTTCCTTTACACAAAGAGCCCGGCTAGCTCAGTCGGTAGAGCATGAGACTCTTAATCTCAGGGTCGTGGGTTCGAGCCCCACGTTGGGCGATCTTTTTTCTTTATTATTTAGAGATAAAGAAAATTTTAATGAGAATATCAAATAAAGTTAATAATTAAAATATATAAAATACAATATATCCAAGATTATTAGTTACAGTTTGAATGAAATTAGATTGTTTACAAATGTTGAAGCAACACATAATGATAGTTTTTTAATAATTTTTTCTTTCATTTCTATATGAGTTATTTAAATTAAAGACATATTTTTTCTTGTTCTTCTAGTTCTTGAAATATTCCAAAAAATATTTTAAAATAACATATGATTAAGAATATTTCAAATTTCAGATATTTTTATTTTTTCAATATGAATAATAATGGATAAAAATTATTTTTTCACAATTATCTTGATTATAAATTTCATAAAAATATGTGAATTGAATATTTTCTCCAATAGAATAAATAGAATAAATAGAAATGATTTCATATATTTTTATGCAATACGTATAATTAAAATAAACAAGATTTCAAAAAACAATTCTCATTCAAGAAAAATTGGCATTATTTTTTGTTATCAAGATTTATACATTACCTTTATATATATAAAATAAATATATATATATATATATTATATATATATGATGTTTTATTTATTATATGAATAATATATATAAATAATAAAATATAATAATACATTAATAATAAAAATTAGACTAAGATATACAATAGATACATACAAATATATGGACAAAGAAGGCGAATAGGAAAAGAAAAGATTGAACATAGAATAAAAATTATACAATCAACATTATTTCTAAAGAATTGTAAATGAAATATACAGAAAATAAAGAAAACAAATAATAAAAAAGAATAGAGATAAGGTAAGAATTCACCATCAATGCTTGAATATTGAAGATATTTTTTCAAATACAAAATAGAATAGGAATTAAGGATTAACGCCATCTCTTGAGTGAATGATATCTCTTCAAAAAATCATTTTTTTAAAAACAAAGAAATAGTTCTTTCAACAATCAATTTTTATTCTATTTATGTTCTTTTCTTATTATTTGTTCTCTTTCTTGTATTTACGAGATTTTAAAAATGATACTGATTATATAATTTTTATTTTTATCTTTTTCCCACTATTTGTTTTTTTTGTCTATTTACTTTTAAGTGCATAATTATAGGTGAAATATAGAATATTAATTGAACATATTTTTTTCAAAAATTATAATGAATCTTATTTCATATATTTATTAGATATTCAATAACAGAATATTTGTTCCATTTCTTATTTATCTATATATCGAAATTTAGTTTTAATCTCAATCATTATTAATATTAATATTATAATCTTATTTTGAATTGTATAACGATAATAATTAAAATAATAATAAAATATATTATCATATAATATTATCATATCTAAATAATTAATTTAAATAAGAATTTAAAAAATTAAAAACATTAACTTATCTTAATCTTTATTACTTTTAACGAATATATTTAGCTTATGTAACAAATATCCTTTTCTGAATATATCGATAACATTATTATATGTATAAAAATAATATAATCTCCAATAAAAACTTCGATAGTTCAGCAATATTTGTCAAACGATAATTTAAAATTAATGAAAAATCTAAGTTTTGTTTCTAATATTTTTTTTATCATTGGATAATATGATAGTACAATATGGATGAATATATGTAATATATATTTACGTTAATATTAATACATCAAATAATTAATTCTAACTATTAATTATAAATAATTAATAACTATATATAAACTATAATTTTAACTATGCCATTATAATGAAATATGAAAATATGCCGTACGAAGAATGTTAAACTTAATTACATCGATTCTAATTATTTTTTTATTAATTAATCCTTTTTATATAAACAATATATTTTATTATACTATATTTGAAAAAAATATTATAATAAACATAATAAAATTAGAATTTATCAAAAAAACGATCATCCATATCGTTTTATTTATCACAATTTAATTTACGATAATTTACGATACGAATCAATTATAATAAAGCAAAAACTAAATGCGCTTGTATTATATTTAACAGCCATACTTTATGTTACAAAATTTACATTATTTCATATGAATAATAAATTACACATAATTGCAAACATTTATATACAATTAATAATAGACTAATAACTGATCGCCATTAAAAACATAGATAAAATAATTTTTATTTTTAATATTATGAAATCGTAATGAAAATAATAGATATATAAGCGTTAAAATAAAATGATTAAAAATAAAATGATTTTAGAAAGGTAAACAGTTATATTAATTATGAAATTAACACATGATATGTTATATATTTTTATCATTTTTATAAGTAAATAATAAAAACAAATTATTTTTTTAATTATTCTAATTTAAAAGATAATATTTTAAAATTTATAAAAAAAATTATTATATTATATTATGAATCCATGCAATGAATTTAATAAAATATGTAATTAACAAAAAACTTTGCCTTTTGTTTTTTTAAATACTTCAGTAAATAAACAAGTTATCGAAAATTCCTACCTAAGATTTTATTTCGAAATGAAATTTTTTTTTTCTTTCTAATTTTTTGAATATCAGCGACATCAAAGTGAGTCGTACTTCCAGAATTACTTGGTAAACTAAAATCTTGTTCTACAAGTATTTTTCTTTTTTTATTAGCATTAAATTCATCAGTTTCTAAATATTTTCTTTTTTGTATCATGTTATATGTCAAAGCATTTTCTAATAATCTTTGTTTTTTCTGTGGTATTTTCTCTAAAATTTCTTCTTTATCTTGAGAAGTAACATCTTTTAATAATTTTTGTTTTCTCTTTTTTTCCTTAATCAATAATTGCTCATTTGAAACATCATTCAACATATCTGAGAGTTTTTTCTGTTTTATTTTAGTCATTTCTTTTATATTTGTAATATTTGTAATATTTGAAATATCGTTAACCGCGCTTTCTATTTTTTTTTCTTTTTTAATTTATTATATATTTTTTCATCATGACTTTTTGATATTGTTTCGATAACATTGTCCACTATTGGCTTTCTCATTTGTACATCAGTATCATATGTTTTCTGTTTCTTCTTTTTCTTAGATAATTGCTCATTTAAAATATTATTATTCGATAAAATGTCTGATATTTTTTTCTTTTTTACTATTTTAGTATTTTTATTTGTATTTGACAGATTTAAAACATTTTCAATTGTGTTTTCTTTTTTCTTTTTTCTTTTTTCTTTTTCTTCAGAATGTATTTTTCCATCTAAATTTTCTGCTTTTGTTTCAATAGTATTTCCAAATATTTGTTTTAATTGTACATCAGTATCATATGCTTTCTTTTTCTTATTTTTTTTAGATAATTGCTCATTTGAAATATTATTATTTAATAGAATACCTAAAACCTTTTTTTTCTTTTTCGTTATGTTAGTCTCCTCATTTATATTTATTAAATTTGAAACATTTTCAATTGTATTTTCTTTTTTCTTTTTCTTTTTTACTTCATTGTATATTTTTTCATCATAATTTTCCGATCGAATAATATCTTCGAATATCTTCTCTTTCATTTGTACATCAATATTACATGTTTCTTTTTTCTTTTTTTCTTACGTAATTGTTCATTTGACATATTATTAGATATTGAAGAAACATCTAAAGCTTCCTTCTTTTTCTTTACTACATTAGTTTTTTCATTTATATTTATCAAATTTGAAACATCTTCAATTATTTTTTCTTTTTTCTTCTTCTTTTTTACTTCATTATGTATTTTTTTATCAAGATTGTCTGGTTTTGTTTCAAGAATGTTTTCAAATATTTGATGTTCCATTTGAACATTATTTTCATATATTTTTTTTCTTCTTCTTTTTTATTTTATCTTTTACTTTTCCTATTTCATCATTATTATCATCATTAGTATTAATAAAAGGAACAATTTGTTTTGTTTTCTTTAACATATCTGCATTTTTATTCAATTGAAAATCATTTTCAAATAATATAGGATTAATTGTTTCTTGTACTGTTGATTGTTTTTGTTTTTTCCGTTTTTTTTTACGATCATTTTCTAATATATTGTTTGCTACATTAAATAATTTCTTTTTTAACGAATCATTTACTTCTTTAGATATTTTTTGTTTTTTTCATTGTCGTCTTCATTTTCTTCTTCAACTTGAACGTTTTTCTTACTACTATTAATAGTATTTGTTAATTCTTTAAACATGGTATCTGATTTCAGTATTGGTGCACTTTCATTTAATTTATCTTTCTTCAAGTATCTTGTTGTAGGTGTGTCACTTCCCAAAACTAATGTTGTTTTATTTAATCCTAATACTTTAGATGACATTGGCCTTGATAGATTTGTTTCTGTTACAAATTCAATTAATTCAGATGGAAGACTTCTATGCGCGAGACTTTCATTATTTTTTAATTTTTTTAATTTTTTCTTTAGCGTTATATCTTTTTCCTCGTCAAGAGACAAATTTTTCTGAACATCATAAGTTTTAATATTAAATTTTTCTTTGTTAGATAAATTAATTTTAGGTGTACTATATACCATTGATTCATTGTTTTCTTTTGAATTATCTATTTTGACATCAAGATCTTTTATTTTTTTATTTAATATTATTTGAGATTCATTTAATGATTTTTCAATATTTTGATCTCGCTTTTTGTCCTTGCCCTTTTTCTTATTTTTTTTAACATTCTCTTCAATATCTAGCTTAACATTATTTTCAATTTCTTCATCTTTCTCTTCTTCATTTTCTTTATTTTGCTTTTCTTCAATTTCAATTTCTTCATTTTCTTTCTCTTCACTTTCTTCGTCTTCTTTTTCTTCAAATTCAATTTCTTGATCTTCTTTCTCTTCATTTTCACTTTCTTCATCTTCTTTTTCTTCAATTTCAATTTCTTCATCTTCTTTTCCTTCGCTATCTTCGTATTCCTTTTTTTCAATTTCAATTTCTTCATCTTCTTTCTCTTCGCTTTCTTCGTCTTTTTCTTCAATTTCAATTTCTTCATTTTCTTTCTCTTTACTTTCTTCTTTTTCTTCAATATCAATTTCTTGATTTTCTTTTTCTTCATTTTCACTTTCCTCATTCTCCTTTTCTTCATTTTCTTCACCTTCACTTTCTTCTTCTTCTTCAACTTCATCATCATCAACTATAAAATCTGCCATATCTGATCCATTATCATCTGGATCTGATGATTCCGTTTCTGATGCTCTACATTCATCTCCTGGTATATCATCATCGGAAAACTTTGAAATATTTTTACCGTGAAAATTATATTCCTTTTGAATATCAGAATCTATACTATTATTAGATTCACTATCATTGTTTTCACTATCGCTGGTTTCGGCAAATAAAAATTTAGGTATGTTCATGAATTTTTTTTGTGTATCATCTAAATCAGAAATATCTTTACTTTTTTCAGAGTCTGATGAAACATTATCTGTTGTTGAATAATTTTTTTTCAATTTTTTTCTTGTTTTATCTCTCAATGATTTTCGATCTGATAGACGTTTATTTTGTAATTTTATATCTTCTTCTGCATTTTCTATATCACTTTTTACTTCTTTTTTCTTTTTCTTTTTATCTTTTATACTTTGTCGTTTATTGCTAGTAGAAGATTTATTTTTGCTATCATTTAATTTACATTTATTTGCTGACATATTCATAAATATTTCTGCATCATTTTCTGCTTTCATGGAATCTCTTTGCATTTTTAATATAACAGTATCATCTGAATCATAATCAAATACTTCTTTTTCTCTTTTTAGTTTTTCTGCAGATGAATATGCTTCTTTATCAACTAAAATAAGATCATAATCGCTTTCTATCTGATTTTCCAATTTTTCAGTTGACAAACGTTCAGAATTTTTATCATGTTCATTATTTTTTTCTTTCCATTCGGTAGCTGGAATGTCTTGAAATAAATCTGTCATATTTGTATCAGAATTATTATCATCAATTTTAATCTTTTCTTGATACTCTTTGGATATTGGTTTATTGATATCTGGATATTTTTCTTTTGATTGTAATTCGTTTGTTTGTTTCTTCAATATCAAAGAATCAGTAGAATTATCTAATACAAAATCTTTTTCTAAATTTCCTTTTTTTTCAGATGCTACTTGAATAAAATTAATAGAAGATTCTGTAACAGGATAACTATTTTTGTTCAAATTAGTTACATTGTCGTCTTTTATATTGGTTACTATTAAATCCTCTGAATTCACGTAAGTATTAAAAGATTTTGATAGATTAGAAGATGAATTATTCGTTTCAACTATTTTTTGTAAATAATTCGTATCTTCATGTTTTGATTTGCTGGAGTTATGAATATCTGAAATTAATTTCATGTCTATTGAATTCGATAATTCTCTATTATTTAATTTAGGTGATAAAATCTCTTTCGTACAATTTATTTCATCATTTTCGTATACAATGTCTGATGTATTTGATTCGTTATTTTTATTTTTTATTTTACATTGATCATCTGTATTTTCATATTGATTTGTATTATCTTTTTCAGAATCATTTTCACTCATACTTTCCTTTTCACTTGAAATATCCATTTTAATATTTATTTCAATTTCACATTGATCATTTGTAATTTTACATTGATTTGTACTATCTTTTTCAAAATCATCCTCATTCATGCTTTCTTTTTCACTTGAAATATCCATTTTGATATTCATATTATCAATTTCTTTTGATTCTTTATTTAATTTAGAATTAATTTCTATAGATTCATTATCATTTACTGTATTTATGTCTTCTTTATTATCATTTATATGAATAGAAAGATTTTTATCTGAATTTTCATTATATAGATTGCTATTGCCTGACTCTGTTTCTGGACTTATAACTAATTTTTGCATATTATCAGAATTATCTTCCTGATTTATTGAAATACTTTTAACAGATAAATTATTAATTGAATCGGTGTCACTTTCAATTTTCTTTACAGAAACATTATCATTATCATTTGACACATCTGATAATTTTTTAGAATGTTTTGGTGTTAAATTTATTTTAACACAAGGAGATTTACATTTATCTTCATTTGAATTATTTGAAGTTAAACTAGATCGTGAACTTTGTTGTGTATTATTCATGTTTTGTAAATCAATATTTGTAAGAATCTTTTTATTACTATGATCTTCATGTTTTTCCAAAGTATCATTTAAATTCTCAAGTTCTGATTTCATGGATGTATTTTGGTTTTCATTTTGTGAAAGTATTTGAGATTTATCTGATTTTTCTTTTATTGTAATATCTGGAGACAATGCTTTTTTATTTTCTAGTTCTACATTTTTACTATTATCTGGTATTTTTTTATTATCCACAATTAAATTCTTCTCAACATCTTCAATTTTATTTGAAGAATTTTCTGGAGCATTCTGTTGTGTTATCTTAACTGTAGTAAATATAAATACAAATATCTGTTAGTTCTTATGTTACATTTTAACTATTAAAAAAATATTATTAATAAAACATTTTTGTTATAACTTTTTATTAAGCATTTTATTATTATTTTATATTATATAAAAAATGAAAAAAATATTATGATTTAAAAAAATTACAATTTAATTGTGTAATTAATAATAATCATGTATCATAGATTATAGAGAATAAGAATAAATTAAACTTACCATCATTATCTAAGTGTTTTTCACGTATACTGTTATGGCTTGTATCATATTTGTTTTTAGAAAATGATAATGAATCATCTTTTTCTTCTATAGGTTTAAGAGAATTTTTTGAGTCTAAAAAAAATTTAATATTACAAAAATGTTTTAAAATTTAACGACATTATAAAATTAAAATTTTTAGAATTTAAGTATATTTTAAATAAATATAAAATTTAAAAATACCTGATTGTATACTTTCATTAATATCAGGTAATGTACGATTTAATGTTACTCTAGGAATTTTCATAGATATTCCTTTTTCTTCTGTAGTTACTTCTGAAAATATTAATGAAGATCGTCTTCTTGTTCTAATAGATGTTGTTAATTCATTGTTTCGTTTTTCTGTTAGTTTATCAGATGTAGCTTCAGGTCCCATAGAACTAGCTCTTGTATTACGTGTGTTTCTTGTTGCTGATGGTGGTGAATTTGCTTCTGATCCAGCTCTTACAAGGCGTTTACTAAAAAAATAATAAAAAATAATGATAGATGAAACAAAGTTTTAATTATATACAAATTATTAATTATTATACATACCTTCTTCGACTACCTATCATTTTATTATCACTAGATGTATTACTTTTAGTTTTTCTTGTTGGTGTACCAATACCTATTTCTAGGACTTCGCTAATATCTGAAGATACAGAATTTGTCCTAGAACGTAAATTTCTTTGATTTTCAATAGAAGCCGTATTGTCCATGGTAATTAATCGTCGTCTTGGACTCTTTGAAGTTTGTATATTATTAGTGTCGCTTAGAGACGATTCAGGTGAAAATTCATTTTGTTAAGGTTTTGCTTAATTCGCGAACTTCTACGAAGTGGAGAATCAACCGATATTGTTTCAATGTGGATACGATTTTTGCCATCTAAAAATTTAAAAAAAAGTGGAAAGAAATGAAATGATACAATCAAATTTTTAAAAAAATGTCAATTATATATTCATAAAAGTTCTAAAATAAAAATTTATATAAAAACACGTTATAGAATTGATAAGAATATGATATTCAATGCTGAATCGACCGTTATATTCAGCGGAGTGAACCGCGTGCGCATAGAAACCAAAAAATGAAAAGTACAAACCAGGTTTTCCGGCTAGTTCTTCAACTGATTCTCGTAACATTTTTTATTATTAAAATATTAGTTTAAAAATATTTACATAAATAATAACAATATTCAATAAGTATATAACTACCCACTGACACGTGTTACAACAAATGAATTTAAATTGACGACTTGCTGAACGATCTTTTACTACATTGCGCGCGGAACATCCAGAGCATCCAGAGACACCAAGCGCCAAAATTTGGCGACATTTTAATTCTTTCCAAAGGACCGTTAAAAATCTTTTTTAAAAAATTTTTTTCGTATTTAAGAATTAATATCGCGTAAAAAAAAAAAAATAACTAATTTAATTTTGGTAATAAAGTTTTCAATTTTTAGGAATTATTTTCTAATTATTCCAAAATAAGACAAATAAACCAATAAATGAATTAGTAGAAATAATTAAGTAAAATGCACAATCAAAAGATAGAAATGATTTTAAATTTATTTTTAAAACTAATATTATGATATTTTATATTTTATTTTTACTATAAATAACATTGATACTAATTATATAATATTGTTTTTATAAATAAACATATAATATTAAATTTGTATATATAATCATAAATATTATCATAATGTACAATATGTATACCTGTATATTAAAGCTTATCAGGGCCATTTTGGTATAATAATAACAATACTAAAAAGAAAGATAAAATATTTATTTTTTCTACGATTTAGGATTCTTAAACAGAATAATATTTCTGTTATCATAATTTTCGACAATAGAATGACATCTTACAGTTTTTCTGATATAATATTTAATCGTAAATTTGAACAACTTATGAAATATTTTGACAATCAATGTAAATTTAAAATATTTGATTTTTTAATTTTTATTTCGAGAAAAATAATAAATGCATGAAAACTATATATGATTTTGCGAAGAAATTATTTTTAAAAATATTTTTCTTGTGTGATGAATTAATATTTAATAATTATATTATTAATATTTAGTAATCTTATTTTTAATAAAAGAATTTTAACTTTGCTTAAATTTTTATTTTTTTAATTAATTTCATTAATAATTATTATTTTCATACAAGAATAAGAAGAAAGGTAACATTAATCGAATAATTATTAAATAATTGATATTGTAAAATAATATTCGTTAAATGAAGAAAAAAATATGTGTCAAAAAATTAACATTTTTAAAATTTATAAACAGTTTTTTGTTTGCGTTAAAACAAATGACTTGCTTGTTTCAGAATAGGGGCCGAATGAAATTGTTAGAATTTTTAATTGTTTATGAAATATCAATAATTTTTTGTTTATTATCTATTCCATTTTAAAAAAAAATTATTTTAAATAAATTAATCTTTCACATATCATTGTATATTCACATTCTCATTGTCTTAAACTTAAATTTATTTACAAACTTTGGGAATATAATTTGTGCCATTTGTACATTACAATATATTTAAGTATAATGTATTTTTATAAAGATTATTTATTTAATAATTAATTCAAATATTTGCAAATTATCATACATTTTCAATATTAAAAATATTTGTGTTTATGTGATGATTGTAAATATAAAAATATCTTTGCACAAATATTTATACATTAGTAGAAAGTGTTTGAAGTAGTGTTATAAGTGCTGAAAATATTAATATTGAATCATAATTAGTGTTAAAATATCATTAGAAAATGATATTCTGTTGAAGTTGATGTAATAATCTAAATTATCTTATAACTAGTAATTAAATTTTTTAATTCACAAATTATCATTATTAATTCTCACAACATAAATTAATATTACACAGCCATTTTTACAGAACTTGTTGAATTATATTTTAAGATAATGAAGTACCATTCATTATAAAATATAAGATTTTATAACAAATACAATATCATATTGGTAATTGGATTTTACAAATATTCATAGTAGCATTTGAATAATAGGCACAGTTGATTATAAAATTTACAATGTTATAAACATTGTATATCGGAGATTAAAGCTATCAAATATATCTTCTCCTTCTTTTTTTTCTTTTATTAAGAATAAATAACAAGAAAAAACAGTAAAACTTTTTAAGGCATTATTTTTTTATTAAAAAAAAAAGTGAAGGCAATATAAAATTTAAGCCGCCTTTAAAATTAAGAAAATTACTCTTGTTTTTCTGTCAGCAAAGTTGCAGCTTTAACTGCTGAAATAAAAATATATAAGATTTAATAAGATTTAAAAAGAATTAATCCTATATTGTATCTCAATATAATATATATACCAGCATCTTGAGCAGATGATATTAACTCATCAACTTTTTGATGGTATCTTAAAAAGTTTGGTCTAATAATACAGTGATATAATACTAAGGAGCCATTACGATCAATAGGTGCCATTAACCAGATATAAAAGAGACACTGTGAAAATCAAATCATATATAATTTGTATTTTATATTTATAATAAATAGAATTAAAATATGCTGAAATCTTATACCTTAAAGAGCCAATAAACTGGAAACCAGCATAAAATATAATCTGAGAAAAATTCAACAATTGTAAAAACTGCAAAAACAACCCAATAGGTCAGCCACTTTGTATCATCATCCTTTTTAGGGGTTTCTAAGGCTTTCATAGAACAATATGCAGGATATATAAATCCAAAGATATTACAAACTAATTGCTGACCTATACCAAATACCAAATATAAAGCTGAAAATCCAACAACACCTAAAAGAAAGCAAATAATATAATAACATTAAAAAAAATTTTTTATAAATTGATATTCTAAATTTTTATATCTAAATTTCAATAAAGAACCAAAATATAATTATTATAATTGAAAATAATCAATTATTATCGAATATTTATGAAATCTTATCCCATAAAATAACCATATAGATAGAAATTTTTAATACAATAATTTTTGATATAATTAATTGCATGTGAAAAAATGTAAAAGATTTAAAAGTTTTTATTCTCAAGTCAAGGATTACGATAGAATAATTGTATTCGTTATAGCTTGTTACATAAATCGGGAATAATTGGTTTATACTTTATACTATTGGGACAAAGATTGTCACAAAGAGTTCACAAAGTAATTCTAACGTTCGTACTTAAAAAAACGTAAAGTCGATCAACTCCTATTTTTTTTTCAATTTTGGCGAGATATTTTGTCCATAATTTGTTATCATCATGTAATGCCTTCTCCAAAGATTGTTTAACGGCTGCTATTCTCGCCATTTCGTTCGAATTTTCTATACACAAAATTATAAACGATACTTCTCTTAAATTTGCAGCCTCACTACTAACTTTACTTACATGCGAATCGATATCATTGGTAAACGATTATATAGAAAGGAATGCGAAGGTAAATGTGACATCTATCGTTGAAATAATGAAAGTAAAACGTTAAAAGGAAAAGAAATTTAAATTATTAAATATGTTTATAAATTATTTGATAATATTTGTATTATATCATATTTTACTTTTTTATATAACTTTTATTTTTATTAATATTTAAAAATTTAATGAACAGAATTTCAAATTTTTGTTATTATTTTCGGTTCATCAAGTTATAATAAATTATTATTAGCAACGTATTCATTAAATTAGTTTTCAATCTATATAATATTAATTATAAAAATTAATATATAAAATAAAACAATAAATATTAGGTATAATATCAAAATAAAAAGGATCACATAGCCATGTATAATTGGCAATATTCTTATTTTTATTATGAGATATTTTTATCTCATTTAACACAATTACACATTGTTCGAGCATTTTAACGCTATTTCATCATAGATCACTTATTGTTAGTGGGTGTACAATTCGATTAAATATTATCACATTTACAACTTGTTTTTCTTATTATTTTTTCTTCTCTTTCTTTTTTTATAAAAATACGTTCCACCGTTATAAGTATGGATCGATTCAACGTTTGACGGAAATACATAAATATGCGAGGACAATAAAAATTCATACTTAAAAACCTACATTCGATAAAAGTCTCGCGACATCGTGTACGAAACGAGTAGGAACATTTTAAGAAATTATCGTTTGGCACTGCAGCTGAATCACTGTACGTTTTCTTGTTCATTTTCTCAGTTGTTTCTTTGAACACGAATAGAATAAATAAAGAAGTGCTGATTCATACCTTGACCAAAGTACAAAGTATTATATGTTTGCGGCAAATCATTGGTTGTTCAATGTGTATATGCATTATTGTATTTCACATTATGCGTTAATTGTGCTTCGCAATTATGTATAGATTATGATTTAATGAAAAAGTTACAATTTTCATCAATGATATTATACATATTATTACAGGTAACATTAATACAAATTAAATTGATATCATCCATTAATACAATTAACCGATAGAATTGAAGTAAGAAGGTTGTAAATAGAAAAATTAAAATTAAAAAAAGAAAATTTTTTTCTAAATATTATTTCTTAATAATACATATCAAAATTTAATTAATGTTATACTTGTGTGTATTACAATTTGGACATAATTAATTGGGAATATTCATCCATGTAATTTTTATTATTTATCTCTTTAGAAATAATATTTCGATTACATCTTGTATGATATCGTTTCGCGATTATTTATGCATTGAAACTTTCATCAGGACATGCAATAAATAGAGCGACGGTTTATCTCGCAAGATATTACCGCCAAGTGTTTCGTTCACACGCATTTCATCCTCTTTACAAGCATAATTAATAATATTCGCTAGTTTACATTATTTGCAATATATATATATAATTATTTCGATCTGAATATTTATTACATCAATGTTCATTATTGATTCATTTATTTATTTGCGTCATAAAAATTATTTCGATTGTACGCGGTTGCCATAATAAAAATTTTTTAACAAAAATTTTATAAATGATATTTTGATTTTATCAATCTAAATGATTTTTTACGTATTTTTGTGTTTTAATATTATGCTATATATTTTTAATTTTAAATATCATTGTATCGACATAGAAATGTGATTGTTCTCTTTGTTTTTTTTCTTCTTTATGATAAATTATGAACAATTGACATTTATATTTTATCTTTTATATTTTATAATTGTTATGGCACTTACGTTCTAAGTGACTTTAATTAATTTATCTATTCAAATCTAAAAATTTTATCGAGTCATTTATCTTATCTGAAAATTCAAGGTTTGAATCAAGCTAAATGATCGCAGTATCCATGCACTTCTTTATTTTTAATAAGATCTGATGATTAATTTTGCATTTGATCAAGCAAGATGTATGCTTATTCAACGAAGAATTATATTGTAAATGTTCTTTTTTGATTATCATATAATACAAAAGCGACATTATTTTTTCTTTTTTTTTTTTTTTGTCAAAATAACATTTAAATTACATCAGACTTCGTAACAAACGAATAATTACTTTTTAATATCATTAGTTAAAAAAAAAAAAAACTCTTAAAGCTGTTTCCTCAAGCGATGATATTTCCTTATTATTTTCTAACAAGTAGTATATTATATTAATTTTTATCTTATTTATGTATACGCTTCTTACGCTCTTTGCATCGCTCTCTCGTCCTCTTTTTTTCGTGTTTACAATTTGATACTCTTATGTTTTTCTAATCAGATATGTATGTACGCATATCGAGGATATATATTTACATATTCTCGCAATTTGATGAATTTTTTAACCTTGTTCAATATGTTCAATTAGACGAATAACTTGGATTCGAGTAACTTGACTTCAAATGCGTGCCTATACAAGATGAATTACGCGATTCGAATTGACAAGACAAGAAATCGATTTGAGGCATATTTGAGGCATATTCTTTTTTCTAAAAAGTTAAATATAGATCAATGATTTTTAAACTTATTCGAGTTCGAAGATCTCGTTCATATTATAATGCGCATTTCGCCGAACTGTAATCATTAATTAATTTATATTTTTGATTATTGTTGATAGAGAATAAAAAAATATTTTTATCGAATGATAGATTTACAAATGGCAATTAGGTTTCAAATTCCTCAAATTCAAGTAATTCGTCTAATGTGAATGAGATCAAACGATTGATCGCTTTTATCGCATATAATCGATTGTAATCGATATTAATTTTTTGATATTTGATCGATTTCGTTACAAAAGTACGTGATGTTTATTTACAAGTACACACTATTTTATCTTACGTAAAAAAATTTTCAAGGTCTCATGGTGTAACGGCTAGCACTCTGGACTCTGAATCCAGCGATCCGAGTTCAAATCTCGGTGAGACCTTCGACTTTCTTCGTTATACTTTTTTTTGATTCGAATAGAATGCTAAATTCTTTAAACGGTACGTTATTTTTTTCTTCTTTTCTTTTCTTTTCTTTCTTTTTTTTTTTTGTTATTATTATTAATTCTTATGATTATCCAATACGAAATATATTACGAAATAAAATTATGTATGTACTTTTATAATTTTTCGTAGGAATGATGATAGAGATTAAAGAAATGTTAACATTCTTTTCTTTTCGTAAGTTTTTTCGTAAATTATTTTATAATTTTGATTTTCCAAAATTTATTACAATATTATGAAAACGAAATACTTCTCATTTTTGATTGTACAGTTATTTAACTTTCGTTTCACTAGAGAATTGATATTCTTTTTTTGCAAATGCAAAATTTTCAATAATCGAAATCAGAAAATTAAAAAATAATAACTTGGACTTCATATAAAGAAGAAGAAGAAAGATATCTTGAAAAAAGAAATGCATACGAAAATAAATTTAATTTTAACAAGAAATGTTTTCGTTTTTACTATAATTACTAAAATAATCACTTCGTATTACAAAAATATCTAACTTTGTTAGAAATGCCCCGGACACAATTGTCGCTTGAATAGAATTAAATAAAGTCGTTAGAGAAATATTTAAAGAGATTCTTTCCAAAATGATGTGTCGAAAATCAAAAAAGATGAATCCGAATCTTAATCGAACAGACACGTATATCCTAATCATATAGATCTAATCTATTTGTAAAAAAGATTTAAAAAAAAAAAATCGTTTTTATTCGTAGAAAAATTCTAATAAAAATCGTACAAAATTTTCTTCACAGTTTCGGGGTCTGTAGCAGTTTCTTTTCCATCGATCTCATTTTGATGCATTTGGCAAGGAGCGCTATTATCGTGAGTATGGCGCCAAGAAACGAGACTATGCCCAACACAACGAGCACCATAAACCAGTTTTTAAAACTGCCGATCCTGTCGCCGAAATCGCAGTTGCAATTCTCGCTCTCGTTCAAATTCAACGCTGAAAAGTTTACCGGCCTCAGAGAGATTAGCTTGAAATCGTCCTGTATTTGCCGCCTGCTCGTAGAATTTTGCGCCTTCTTTATAAACCTGTACGATATCGTGTAAGTGAACTCTTGGCCATCGTACGACCCCTTCGCGCTATAATATTGTATCAACAACTCGTTGCCGCTCGATGTAAGAGGAACTTGTATGTTATTGATGTCCTGGTGGGATACGTCGCAATAAGACCACATCAAGACGCTGTTGTTCACCTGGAAATTCGATATTATCATTTTTTCCATTGCGACAGTTGTGATTCCTTATTTACATAACAGGAATCGTAGAATGAAGACGAGCCCTTATACGTACAGCGAAATAATATAAAAGAAAGGACAGAGAGAGAGAGAAAGAGAGATGCTAGTACATTACGTGCAGAAGATACATCGACACGAATATCGATCGTGACGAGAAATTTTGTAAATAATAATAGAACCGTTTGATTTGATTTGAATGAAATAGCGTATTGAAAATTAAATTAGCTCACCGAGAAATATTTCGGTTCTCTTCAAATTTCATCCGTAATCCGTAGATTTTACCGTTAATTCCTTACTCACCTCGATCCCATTGTAAACCGCGATCTCGTTTCCAGAGCAATAATTCAGGCTGAAGTTCCGTCTCTGCGGCGTGTACTCCTGATCCGGCTCGTTTCTGATTATCTTCATATGAACGTAGATCCTCTCCGACGATCTGCCCATGAATTTGTAACTGCACAAAGTATTGGGCGGATACCAGCTTTGCAACGACTTGATGCTCTCCCTCGTCCGTTCGCTGCTCCTGTACACGAACTCGCAATTCTGATCGTTTCTCATCGCGTACGCCTCCTCCGTTTCCTGGAACGACAACTGGAAGCCGTCGTGCATCACGGTGCCGTCCTGCTCCGCGAAGAACTCGACGACGATGTTCCTCCCCCTCGAAAGGATCCTCGGCACGTGGCCCTCCCCGCAAAACTTGGAGATCTCAAACATCTTCCCGTCCACGTTCTCCAACAATGTCAGATAATCGCCCACGCAACTGGTGCTCCCCAACCTCTCCGATCCTCGACCCTTCTTTGCGTATCGGTACTCGGGAAGCTTTTATTGGAAATGAGAGAAATGTGTAATTCGATTTTGTTCGGATTAAATATTTCGATTAAAATTCGGTGGCTTTTTAACATGGTTCTTGTTAAAAGTTTATCAATTAATCCTGATTTAATTAATCGTTGGTTCAATTAATTTCATTACTTGATTCGATCAAGTTGATATAATCTGTAGTCTAGATTCGTGCATTGTGCTTATTCTTTGCAGAACGTTTGATCAACTTGTTCCCCGCAAGGAAACTCGGCGAGAACAGTTTAGCTCAGAGTTTGCTAGTTACCGGTGAATCCTTGGTCGAGAGATTAAAGCGCAAACAATACTTGCGAAATAATTTCCGCAATTCCGTCTTGACTTCTCGAAGTCATCGATGAGTTGATCGCTTCGGTGGTTTACGGAGAGAAGGAAACGAAGCAACGAAATGAAAACTAAACTTTTTAAGATTTTAACCGCTTAATAAATTTTTTCCAATATCCAATGAAACGGATCGTGGAAATTCTATGATACGTAAGTAAATTGAAATATCCTTCTCCTCCTTCTATCGTCTTTATACCATTCCTTAAGCGTGGTGAAAAATATTATTAGGTGTGCAAATAAGTTCTTTCCTCCTTTTTTCCACGATCATAACTTCTGACCGAATTCGAATCACTTCCCGTTCGTGGCGCCATCTAGACGAGCGTTCTTTTGTTTTCAAGAAGAGTCGCGACGAGCGCTCTAAAAGTTTCCAGTCCTGTGCGACGATTTCGAGCGATATGGCGCCCGAGAAGCATCATTCGCGTCACTGTTTACTTTTTCCAGCTTGGGAAATCGGCCGTTGAAGCTATCGAAACGATTTAAACGCTGTATCTGTAACGGAACGTGGAAAAAGTGGTGGCAAAGAAAATTAAAGCCGGAAATGTTAATTTGGAAGACGACGATCGCGTCGTATCTCGTGTCGTTCAGGTGCATCGAGAAAGTTCGATGACGGTGAGTTAAAGGAATCGCTCTTGTGCCTGATTTACGCGATAGAGTCTTTGGAATTTGGACGAAAAAAAAGAAAAAAAAGGGAGAAAGAAAGAACTTACTTGCACACGTAACAAATTTCCAACGATAACTCACCTGTAACGCGGTGATCCTCTCCTTGCTCAATCCTTTCCTCCCGATCTCCGCGTGGCCCCCCATCCCCCCGTCGCTCGGTATCCTCGCGTCCGATATATCTCCTGGCTCACGATCGGTATTCCTTCTCAAGCTTATCGAGTCCATGGACTTCTTATGTATCACGCGCTGCGGGTGACGAAGTCGCTTCTTCTGGACAACCTCCCCTTGCCGCCTGATCCCCTGCCCGCGATAAGGAGCCGGGAAACCGGACTCCTCCTCCTCTTCCTCCTCCTTCAGACCATCCTCCGGACCGATCTCTTTCGGGCGGCCACCGATATTTCTCCGGATATCCTCGTCCTTCCTCGCTTTCTTAAGCCTCCTTCGATTATTCCTCCCCCTCCTCCCCCTGTACGACGTCTGCCCGATGATAAATTCCACCTCCTCCTCGCGATCCTCCGGGCTCCTCCGCCCGCGCCCCGACTTCTCCGCCTCCGCCTCCACGTGCTCCTCGCAATTCTCCGTCTGGCAGCCCTCCTGCGACGTGCGGTTCATCAAGTCGAACGTGTCGTCCGGTTGGCCGCCGATTTTGAACCGGCCCGCGCCCGACTCCAGCCCTATCCTGCACTTGATCCCGCGCGGGTACACGCCCGGGTAGCCGGGCGAGGACAGTTTGCAGGATCTTCGGTCGTTCCTCACTGCGCACTCGAGGGGGCACTCGGACGAGGGGGACGGGGAGAAGCCGCGGTGGCGCTCGGACGCGAGTTGGGCGGGCAGTATGGAGAACTGGGCGGAGAAGATCACGGGATTCTCGGCGGCGAATTTCACGTCCGAGTCCATTATGATCGTTAAATTGGGCCCCCTCCTCAGGAACAGCCTGCAGGGATGATAGAAATTAACCCTTCGCGGGTTGTCTCTCGGCCACTGTTTGGATCGATGCGGCGACCATATTACGTTTGATTTTTTCAAAGTATTCGCTTCGTGAATACTGATCGTGATGAACTGTTAAAGTGAATCTCTCGTAAAGCGTGGAATAATGTACCATCGAGTGATTAGATTTTTTTTTTTTTTATTTGAAATTAGACCGTGATCGACGATCAGAATATATTATTTTCAAAGTTTCTTAGTTTTGTAAGCGTGGGATACGGTGATGAAATTAGTTAGTAGAGCGAAGATGAGTTTGATTTTTCGTTATTGAATAACGAAATTATTTCTATTCGTTAAGAAATTGAGGGAAGGAAAATAGAGATGTAAGAGAAGATGAAAAATAAGAATAGTGAATGTGAGAGCACGTTATTGACCGAGGATGCAATTGCTTTATTATTAAAATATTCAACAAAATTTCTTTCTTTATACGTAAAGATACACAAAATATTAAAATATAAAAGTTTTATACGTTAATTTCTGCGCGAAATCATTTTAAATTAGCCAAGAAATTCAGTGAACGAGAAATCGTGTAAAAATTGTTGCTTCGTTCGAGCGAAAAAAGATTAAAAATATTTAAGCTAAGCGTTTTTGACTCTTGAGATCAAGGAAGAAGAGAATTTTCTAGATAATTATGGACTAATCGATGGATGTGATAAATTGTATTTATTGTTACGAAACGCGCAGGGTTGATAATAACGATTTTCATTTATTTATTGCAGGGAGAAGTGGCGCGACGAAGAAGAGAAACGAAACGTCAGATCTGGTCGTTGATACATTTGAGGTTTGCCGATCCGTGTATAAAATGTAATGCTCGATGTAATGGCGGTCACCGCATAGCGCGGTAATGGAGACGGGTAATTAATTAAATTGTGAAATAAGTTAGAAACGCTAATTGTATATGAAAGTAAAATTTAATAACACAGCCGTGCGTCATCACGGCTGATTATCTTTCCAATACAACCAATTTGCGCATATACGTTCGTATGAATTAGGATGTTATTATTAAACAAGATCGATCTCGATACGAGTAGCATCGATATATATATATATATAAGGATCGCGAAAAGAGAAAAGCGAGGAAATTGAAATCGAACCGGATCGAAATCATCGGAGGAAATATTTACACGCGTTAAATGCCGTGTTTATAAGCGGCTTGGAACCGCTACATTTCGACCATCAGGCATCTGTTTTAATCCATTATCCGGCAGAGGTGTACAACGTTCGGTTTACAGCCTGCTGTGAATACTATTCCAACCGGTTAATTATTTTTCATTAACCATCCCACCAATCATTCCTCTCTTTTATCCATTTCGTATTCTCTTGTATTTTACTATACACGGCTCTGATAATTATTTATTCTTAGTAATTGAAGAGTTATTTATATTTATGAATTCCTTTTTTTGATATCCGCATATGAGCGTATCGTAGAATAAAAAAGAAAAAAGAAATGGAATACTTATGAAGTATATGATACGTACGCGAATGTATTTCACATATATTCCACTTGAATCGAGATCACAAGCGATTCTCGAAGGAAGAGAAACTTTCTGACGACCTCTCATAACGATTTGTACGTATATTTGTACACGAATTGTTTGCAATGGTAATACGCATGTATAATAATTACGTAAATATTCGTACCTGGTCGTGTTGCCACTCACATAGCCGCAGTAACGTCCTGTTTCATCTTCAACGTCCTCGCTACCATCGGAAAATTGAATGTAAGCACCCTCGCATCTGGTTTCTTTCAGGAAACCAACTTGCAGCTTCCTAACTTTCAACTCGATCACCTGGGTAGAATCAAATTTTAATCGTTTCTTTCTTTCTTTTTTTTTTTTCTCGAATTTTTTAAGGATATTTAAGGATTTTTTTTTATCCATTTCACAGTAATATATGATATTTTCTATCGTGTTTTGTAGCATGATTTTTAGAATTCTAGAAGTTTTAATTTTTTTTTTTTTTTCTCTCAATCGATAGATGATATTTTATCAACCTGAGGATCTCTAGGAGGCGCTCTGATGCGAACAATGCATCGTCCCATTCGTCCTGTCCAACGTATCCATCCGACGGAATTTCTGATAGTGCGATTGCATCCTGCGAAACAAATTTTAATCCACGTTTTAATCCTTCGCGCGACAAAATTTAACCGGCTAAAATTGTCACTGCAACAGGAGAAACGTTGCACGAGATTGAAAAATATCGTTTGAAATTCGAATGTGAAAAACTGACAAATGCGAAACGTAACATCTAATTATTTATTCTGTTGTGTTATTTTTTTTCGAAACATTGTTTTTAAAATAATTGTTGCGATGAAAAAAGAAGTATGCTTCGTGTTTTTCAACAAATCTTTAAACCTTTAAGGTGCCATGCGACATGATTTCGCCAAAGAAGACGCGAAGAAAGGATAAATAATTCCTTTTTCTTTTTCATAATGTTATCAATATTGTTTGAACGATACAAGTATTATTTTTAGTCGTTCTCAGATACAACAGAATCAAGCAAATATGATTCCACAAAAGGCATTGTAAAGTAGCAGTTAAGTGGATTAAAGTTAAACGGGGGAGAGGTAGTCGTAGTAAAGCGAATTCAAGCAGTTTTCTTTCGTAAATTTCTCTGTAATATTTTCAACGTAACAGTTCAAAGAAACGTAAAATAATATACGTTGCGATTGAAAAAAAAAAAAGACAAGATTTATCGCTGCAATAATATTTAATCAAAATTATCTCGATTCAAATTCAAACCTATCAAAAAGATGGAAAGCTACATATCAAATTTACACAATGCAATTAATATTAATATCAATTAAAAATCCTCCAACTTTTAAAAATTCAAAAATGTCAAACAATTGTATCTTTAAAAAGAGGATAAATAAGGATAAATACCTCACAAACAAACTAATTATTCGAAAAACTACATGTTTCTAAAGCCACAGCAGTCTTTAATAGATAAAAATCTTTCCAGACAGTAAAACTAAGTTAACTTCAGAATTATTTGGAAAGCTGCATATCAAAAATCTTATTACTTTCACAAGAAAAGATAGACAAATACTACTTCCTCCGCATGTCGCGCGTTCCTAAAGTCACAATATAATCTTTAATGGATAAGAATCTTTCCCTAACTATGGTTATTAACAAAGCATAAATTTCAGAATTATTTGTAAACTTGTAAAACTTAA